GTGCAGTAAAAAAACAGGAAAAATAAAAAATTATAAATACCACCTGTTGCTCAGACATTATAAAAGTGCTCAACCGTGCACTCGACTTGTGCGACGAAACTCATCGAGTATACAAAAAAAAAGAGTGAACGAGCTTTTCAGAGTAGAGCGAGCAGCAAGTGAGTGGGAGAGAGAGAGAAATTACAAGGCGATATCACTTGGCGACAATGGGGGCGTGACGCTGTTGAGCGGAGCGACGCTTCCCGTTAGGCAAACACACGCATCACTCCGATGAAATTGTCAACCGGCAAACAGCCGTCGAGCCTTTTTTCTGCTCTCGATGACAATCTCAGCCCCGTAGTGGCACTGCCAAGGAAAAGCAAATACGCGGCGTGTCAACAGTCTGGATTTTTCTGTATGATAAAATTGCTTTTCTTCTTTCGGAGCTTATTGACTTCGTTTTTCTTCCTTTTTGGATACGAAATTTTTCTGGCGTTTCGAATTTAAATAATTGATTTTCTTTTGGGATAGAATTTATTACGCAGCGCGTTTTTTTTAATTTGATAAAATACCAGATTTTTATTTCTTTTTTTTTTACTGTTTATAGTCATATTTATCTTGAAATGGAAATAATTAATAACTGTGGAATTTTAATAACGATGAAAACAGAATGAATAAATGTACAATATATTTCTATTTATTCTTTCAAAGTGATGAGAAATTAAGGATAAAGTGATCTAATAGACCACGATAATTATTGTATCACCCGAGGAAATAAAATATTAGCTATAATTTATTGTGATTGTACAATCCAATAGAAATGTATTCAACAACTGGCAATATTCAAGTGTTCCAATCAATCTCAACAATATTTTACTTACCACAAATAAAAAGAAAAGAAACACGGGGCAAGTACATCGAAGGTAAGCCTTATAACTAAAGCAGCAACAGCAGGGCTATACTCATTTATTTAGAGAACAGGGCCTCTAAATCCATCGGAACAATTAACGACCGCGAGAAAAAAGGGACCGAGAGAGTTAATACACGTGATCGTGTGGGTGTCTCGAGCTCGAATTTACCTTCGCTTGCGAGACTCGCAGCCGAAGTATATCAGCCCTGAGAGAGAACAACACTGGTAGTTCCGCTGCGTTGTATATATCTGAAACCGCGCGCTTCGAACTTTTTTAAACAAGGGATCCAATCGCCCGATTTATTGCGCATTTTTTTTCAATTTCTTTTTCTTTCGGTTTGCGCGAGATACTGCAATACGTGTTTAGTTGCGGATCGTGATTTCGATCGTGAAATTCCAGCAAGATACATCGTAGTTTTTCAAGTTTTATTGGGCCGAGGAGTGAATGACGTAATTGTAACCAAGACATTCCTTTTATTTAGGATCTAAGCTTCAACATTTCCCGCTAGATGGATTGCGTGACTTCGCAGAGTTAGCAAATTTATCGTATAAATTAAAAACCGTTTATCGTTTATCCATTTTGAATGAACCCATTCCCATATCGAGTGACTTCATGAATGATTATCAAATCCAGCATCAGGCTAGATCGCCGTTTTATCAGAAATGTACGACACAGAGCGACGATGATAAAGCAGCCTTTCTCTCTCTCGCTTTTCCGAGCTGACTTCTATCTCGTAGTTAATGTAGAGGTCTATATACAAAACAGCGCTCCCTCCTAGCTCTACAGAGAGGAAAACAAGAAAAATAACGTGTATGTAAACACGTATTTGCATTGGTCACGCTGCATAAATCAGCTTGGAAGTCTCGCTATGCTCTCACGTTCACGCGATTTTGAATTTGGCGCCCAGCGGGAATTCAAACCGGGCGATTTACAGCGTCGTTGACCTATTTTTTTTTCTCTCACTCAGGATCTAATTAAATATTCGGCTCGTTCGTCATCTCGAGGGTAGAGAGTAAATATTATCCTCGAGGGTAATCAAAGAGACACAACGGCTGTTGTGTAAAGAATAAAAAAGCTCAAGGCGATACATAACTGAAACGTGCCGACTATAAATTGAAAGCGTCCTCTCTCGTCTCCGCGCGATCGATAATTCGACAAAAGTTCGAGTGGCCACGACACGTAAATGCATTTCAAATTCAATTTGCATCCCGCAGCAAATTATCAGGCAAAAACGAGAGAGAGAGAGAGAGAGAGAGAGAGAGAGAGAGAGAGAGAGAAAGCAGGTGGCACAGCGGTCTCTTAAATTTTGGTCCTTCTAAAACGCCCTAGGTGGTAAGCGGTGACGAAGGTGCCTTTTTGAGGACCAGTACAATGAAAAAAAGACCCCGTGGGGGATATTGAATTTTATTTCACCGTCGACGGCGGGCAACAGAAATCACATTATTTTTACATATTCTTTTCTCACGTACGCAGAGGAGAAAAATTATTTGTACGAAATCTTGCGGTTGTAAATTCAACATGCAAATGATTTATCAAACATCGCGAATAACACGAATAGAAGTTTATATTCATTCGTAAAAATTGCATAAAGAACGTGTACTAATTATTTGATCTGAAAGCTCGTAAAGCTTTTCATGATTTAATATTTCATATAATATAGTAGGCAAATTTGAAGGTCAATATCGGTCTTTCAACTTTTCATTAAGTCAAGTAAGAGTAGATTAATGAAATGTGAATTATACGTACCTCGTACAATGCGTTAATCTGGAGTAAACGTAAAAGCAAATTTGGACGATTACGCAGCTCCTTGCGAAAGATCCAGGAGAAAGTGCATGCACAGCCTCTATCCGTTCCGATGCGCAAGGAGTTGGAAAAAGTAACGAGAGAATTGCGATCGCGAGGGCGGTGTTTTATGATTGCTTGCGCGCGATCTCTCTCGCTCGCAGCTTGCGATAATATAAATCGGCCCGCCCGCCTGCCCTCCACGTGCAAAGAGTTTAACCATCGATTATTTATTGCCCGCGAAGGGATAATTAAAAAGAAACGAAACGGCTTGCTTCCTTCTTTCCTTTATGTATCATTTCGTACGTAAGCTTATGGATAAATCATCGATTATTTCTTTTTCGCGCACTCCTATTGTTATGTAAGCACAAGCCTGCTCTGCTAATTGGTATTTATGTACAGCTCGCACGCCTTTTTTCCGCACGTATTTTCGATTCGTCGTTGAGGAAAAAAAATTCTCTCCGGCGGCGCACTCATTTGACATTTATACAAGTTGACGTGGACTTTCATTTTTGACAACGTATTTATTTGTGTGTAACCGATAATTTTCTTTTCAAATGATGCATACGGATCAAGATATATTATCGATTATCGTTTTTTAAACGCGAGCAATTCTTCCACGTTAATTATCATAATTATACGAACGTGCGTTCTTGTACCACATGGCTATCTCCAAAACTAATTTTTTCCATCATGTAACTCTTAACGTTTCCTCGGGTAGACTTTAATTAGCGATAAGAAATTAAATTAACATTACAAATAAAAAGCACAGCTTGCTACCAAGTTCAACCATGTAATTTATACATCTCAAAAAAGTCATAAAAAGATTTGTGCGTTGCAAGCAGTTTCACGGTCTGTCTCCTCTTACAGCGAGAGTCAAGTCGGCCACACCCGCACGACAATTATTAATGCTCAGACTCACTTGTGAGAAAAAGATAAATATAAATATATCTCGTGAAGGGCGGAAGGGAAGGAGGGAGAATGAGAGAGAGAGGACACCCACCTGGAATTCGGGGAAGATCAGCGTTATAAAATGAACACAACGCACCTTGGCGAAAAGCAACAAAAGGATGAGTTCCAGATGAAAAGAATTAAAGGAGATAAAAGGCTATGGAGACACAGTGAGAGAGAAAGAGAAGGCAAGCCTTTATCATGCGGAGATTAAATGGAATTTTTTTGCGATACATATTAGCGGTAAGGGAATACGAAGATTAAAATGATGGTGCTGGATTTTTATGAATTATGATTGTCCTTTGATTGATTGATCAGTAGAATTCAAATGAACGAAGGTAATTGAACTACTCTTACGTTGACACAGAGTCTTACGAAAAGGCGCTTTCAAACATAGTAAATCATTTCAATATTATTGCCAAATACAAGGTTGACATAATGTCAAATAATATAATTTTAAAGTTGCTTCGATAAAGATTGCCATGGCCATCTGTTTTCGAGACTGACAGCTTTTTTAACTTGTACAAGCCGCATTTACGTGAAAATTTTGAATGAAAATAGAGGATCGATAAGAATGTGCCTGGATGCTGAGAAGATCGACTAGTTAACATACAGCACAAGAATCGCAAACAAATGAGTAAAAGTCATTGCCGTCAAGCTACACACGCGCGCATGGGCTCATCAATAAACAAGAGCACGATGAGCGTTGCTTGTCGAATGAGAAGAAAAATGCGAGAGCGCAGAGAGGAGGAGAGAGAGAGAGATAGAGAAAGAGCAAGAAGTCGGCTGACGAATGCATGTTTAATTCTCTCTGCGCGTTTCTCCTCTCTCTATTCTTCTTTTCTTTTTTTTTTCGGTGATACGGTACGTATATACGCAGCTCTGCTCTGACATAACATTTGCCGTTTCTTGTTTCGCGTGATGTAAATTAATTGGTTGGAATTTCATTGCGGATTTATGAACTTGTAGCCGGACGTATACGTGTTTGTTTCGAGAAAAAGTTATAACGATTCTGTAGCGCGTTCTGCAGTTGTGATGATTGTTGTCGAGGAAAGTTATGAGAATTATTAAAAGAAAAGGAACTTCAACGGTCGACCAACGTAAAAAAAGTAATAATCGGTTTGACCGAACAGATGATTTTCATTATTTTCGTACAGCATCTTCGCTCCAATGTCTCGTTATTTATACTCCACGCCTCGATCAAACGTAGATTGTAAAGGCAACATGGTGACCCGATTGCTAACGTGGGGTAATGAACAAAAGAGTGCCCGCGTGATTTATACGCGACGTTTTACACGCAAGTTTTCGTCGCGCATATGACGTTATCACATCCTACATAACCGCGCGCGGAAAAGTAATGGAGCTGTAAAAACTCACCATGAAAACCATGAACCTTGATTGCAGGTTGGCGCTCCTGATGTAATTCAGCGTCGTCGTTTCCTCCGTTAGCCAGGGCCTCCTTGGCCGAGCCTTGATCTGGCCCGGCTCCTCGCCTACTCGCTGTATCGCTGCACGCGCCAAACTTTCGGTCGTCGCGGCTCTTCTTTCTTTTATCACACCACACAAAATAACACAACACACGTTGTTTTCTTATTTATTTATTTTTTTTCAAATCTTTTTATGTACACACTTTCAACTTGTTCGCAGCACTTTGTAAGTCCAATTGGCACTTATCGATGATATTCAACTTCGAGAGTTTCGATTTACTGGCATAAGAGTTTCATTATACTGGCATCAATACTGGCCCATTTACGAATAGTCTCGATTTCTGGAAAAAAGCAGATGAGATAGAAGGTTAGTTGTGTTGAGAGGTTAGGGTTTATTTTGTTTTTATCTTTTGTCTGTAAACCAACTATTAAATTGCATCATATCAATAGCTAATATAGGTTTTCATACCAACAAGATAAGGACAGTTCGTGGAATAACAACACTAATCTAATGCTTTGTTTTCACGTGACTTTGAGATAGTCTCGCATTAATTTTCAAACTTGGATCAGATTTTATCGATCAATGTGAAGAATAGTTTGATATGAAAAAATAAAGAAAAATTGTACAAGAGCGATAGTTGTACTTGCTTCGTAGAGACAATAAACAAAATAGCTCATTAAACCCGTCGAAAAAATCCAGCTAAAAATTCAAACTAGATTTCTACATAGATATCCAGATAGATTTCCATTTGGATTGTTTTGGATTCCATGTGGGTTCCATGTGGATTGGAAGGGGATTTCCATAATGTATTTTTTATTTGAATTTCATGAAAAATCCAAGCGGATTTTTTGCAAAATCCAAGTGAAGCTCTCAACAAATCAAGATGGATGTCATGCAAAATCCACCAGGAAACTTTAAACTACCGCAAGTTTTACATATTACAATAGTGTTCGCTAAATAAAATGTATTCGAATTGCTTTTTAAACAGCCTCAATCTAAAGCATGGATTGGAGGATAAATAATGTATGTATCTGATATGAATAACTTTAGATATCAAGGGTTTTTGCTAATTAGATTTAAAATAAAGGATTTGTACATTATCCCAACTGAATTGATGCAAGCAATTTTTCATATATATATTTATCACGGCCTCGTCATTTTTATTATTGTTGTGTTCCTTGACTGAAGTTTATAACGACAGCTTCGTTTCTCCCACATCTATACATTTTGGGTGTTACATCTTTTCTTAATTTTATTACTGTGGATGTTGCATAATTCACAAGTCGTACAGTACCAATATTGCAACGTTGTATTCTCAAGGGAATCGCATTATAACACCTCATATAGTGGATGGCTTTATTTAATCTTAGTTGTATATCTTTATTGTTATTAGTATGATTCCAGAAGCTGTCTGTGTCATTGTATTGTGTAAAATTGTATCTAAGCAGCAGTGAAATTGATTTTTTATTAAAAATATTAGAAAAAAATTTATTTGTGATTGAAAGTTACAGTGAGACTCACTTACAGTCTATGCCTAGATAAGCCATAAACGGCTTATTAGCAGCAAAAATAAAAACTGATTATCTGTACAACTGATTTGAATATATTTCCGAATATTTTGATGATGAAGTTTTCTTTGGAAAAGCTATAAAGAGATATTCAAAGATTTATAATAAGCAAAATAAAGAAAATGTGTAATATTAATCGAAAACTACCTATATATATATTTCGAAAAAAAGTATTTAATCATAAGTCTAACCAGCGGAAAATGTCTGTAAAACAAATTACATTTGTGGTCGTCTTGTGATCTCTTGTTAGCATTACACAGCACTTGTCGTCTAGGCTCTCAAATTGACGGAGTATAGAGAGCCGCCGCAGTGCAGTTTCTCTCGCTCTCCGTGTCGTTTCGTAATCTTTTGCGCTAGTCCGTAATTAGGTGGAGTCGCTGCCGCTTTTGCTCACGCGAAAAATAAAAAAACATTTTAAACCGACCTTAATACGACGAAAATCTCTTGCCGAAAGTGAGTGGCTAATTACATATTTATTTTTCGAGACTTTAAATTCATCGTCTGGGATATTCCCTTTTATAGATACGCTTAATGAATGCAGTGCAGATACATAAGAAAGAATAATGAGGTACGAAGTTTATATTGTCGAAGCCTTTTAAAATGCGCGCGCGGGGAAATCTATCTCTGCAAGTTTTATGCGCTTTGCAAGAAGGGGCAGCAGTGCAATGATAATGAGATATATGCTCGATAAAGAACGCGTGCTGTGCGAGTTGCGTAAAGGTAGACGGAAAAATTTTTTGCGGCTATTTTCAAGCCGTAAGTTTAAGGACCAACAGGCATCAATTTGCTTGGGCCAAATAATTTGCGCATCAATTATTTATCGACCATACAGAAACGTTCGTCTATAACTATTCTTTGTACCGCGAGTTTTCTTCAATTTCCTCGTTATTTACAAAACCACGTTAATAACAAAACCACTCGTTATTTGTCTGCCAACACATAAAAATGAAAGCAGAAAACAGCAAGAAAATATCCCGGCAATTGCGACATCTCAATGTATACATACACGACCAGTGAGAGCAAAAACACAGACGATAGCAAGCGATCAATCGCAACTTCAGTCTCGAAAGAGACGAGAGAGGCTATAAGATAATGAGCCTACAGTATAGAGAGAATCAGGCGCGGCGCCGCATCTGTCGTCGTTGTCAAGCTAAAAGCGTCACTCTAAGCTCTCTCCATTCGAATTATTCGATCCGTCACGCCACAGCAGCGCGAGATCGACTGGCGCTAATGACCGATGTGCGTGCCTATACGTAGAAGGATAACTGATCGAAACTTAGCTTTTGAGGTGTTTGGCTTTTTATTGGAATAGAAATATCAGACCAACTGAATATTCGCTGCATTTGTTAATCTTTTCCTGAACCTTTTTTGCTCGTGTTAATTTTTTCAGAGAAAGAAGGATGCAGCTGGCAGATATTAGATAGATAGTTGAAATATTTAGTTTATAGATTTTCATTCCATCAATTAATTAGAATATCCATGATTTTGATTTTTCTTAATGAAATTTGCTCGACGAATAAGCGTATTTATACTCAATTTTTATTTTTTTTAAGTTAGTGTAGTTTTAATTACTAATTTTTAATATTGCCAACTTAACTTTATTACAATATTTTTATTAGAAGTGGGATTTGTCAGTTTGCCTCATTATCAATTTACTTCTTCACGGATTTCATTAAAAAATTAATAAATCTTACTAAAATTATAAATCCGAAACAATATTATCATTTGTATGCAATGTGTTAATAATTAGCTCTCTAGCGACTTTATCTGAAGATATTAACTGACAATTTTAGTTTATGGATTTGTACTTTGAATTGTAAAATTATTATGAGTTCAGCAACAAAATAGTTAACGAGTAATTTTGTGCCATCAACATCATGTTTGATTGTGAATTTGCGTAAACATGAAACCTTTCATATCCTATTATCAACTCTTATAAAAAATTCTTTAGTGAGAAAACTAATAATAAATTAAATTTCACTTACAAATAGGTAATATTATTCGTGAATTATGACTTCATTCCGACTGCAGAGAAATCAACGAAAGCGTTAATTGTAATTTTGTAAATTATTACAATATTATTTAAGAATTCGAGCTCGAAATTATCGTCAGATATTATATTTTGGAAATTACTTTAGAAAAGATTGGGGCGACCATCTATCATAAGCATAATAACCAGCAGAAATCTGCATTCAAACCAAGACGGAAAAAAAAAACAAATTCACGAAAAGTCGAATCAGCCATAGTTCCCTAGTGTGACAAAACGTTTCACGTTCGCGAAATCGCGCGGGCACACAGAAAAAGAGAACAATACATCGCAATCCCGACGGGATGTCACAATCGTTCCAGTTTTTCGTCTTTTTTTCGACTGATCTCACTCTTTCTCTCTCTCTCCATGCGCACACCACCGCACAGCGTGGAGACGCGTGTGTAGCAATAAATTGCACTCTCACTTGGAAACAACTATACGTCAGCGAATTTTCCGGGTGCACGTGCAAACTAATCGATACTCGAATTAACGACCTTGCCGCCGAAGCTTCGTCGAGCTACATTACATAAACTTTCGATCCAGAAATCGTACGATCATAAAGCCACACTATCCTTTGGGTTATTATTCAAAGCCGGACTTTTCCATAAGCGACGAGGTGCTTTGCACAATGACTTTTTCATTTGGTGCATATTATGGCGCGCATGTGTGCGCCACGCGCGCGAAAGTCGTGCTGAATAATAAGCGATTATCTCTCAATCTTTAGGGACAAAGTAGAAATTGTTTGTTCGTTATCTGCGCCCGCGCTCAGTTTATAAAAGGGGGAGAGGCCTCGAAAAACCTCTCTCGTGGCTGTGGCTTGCTTGCAACACTTTGGTTTTACATGGCCGATTGTCTTGGATTACGTACACTTGCGCGCCTGTGCACGGCCAAGGTTTTTCTTCGTGCTTTTTGGAAGTGATTTATATTGTCATTTTAATCTAATAAACTTCGGTTATGTACGCACGCTTACAATATTACTCATACGATTCGACTTTTTGCTTATCTCACTCTTTGAACTTATAGTGTTATATATTGCAGATTGATTGCACCAAAATTATCAAACCCGGCGTCGAATATTCCAAAGACAGAAATAAGCACGCGAATGGCTTGTTCACTACTAATTATTCATAGAAAAGATTGCCAAATCTAACTATAACGATAAAAATCTAAGAAATAATTATCAGTAGCCTGCAACGTTTCAATAAACCCTGTGACTTCATTGGCAAACAACTTAACTTCCACAGCTTACACAGTTCAATAATTAAGCAAAAAATCACCTTAATTGCCCACTTTTCAAACTCAATCACGTTCTTCAAATAAAAAGACGTAAAATCTCCCTTCGAGTCATTAACTTAATCAAGTTCGAGATAACTGATCGAGGTAAATGGCTAATTGAGTCTCGCCCACGAGAAAAAATGTCGTCTATGAAAATATCGCCTGTCTGTCAAATAACACCTTGTTGCATTACATTATCCTTTTTATTTCATATACGATCGACCAAATTTTGTTTACTTCACACGTTATTGATTTTGATAGAAAATCAACAATCAAGATTTTATTACAACATGAACAATCTATACAACATAAACTTACGACAATATCGAATTACGCCGTACGCACTTAAATGGGATAATGGTTTTGATTTTTCCACTCGTGCTTATTTGAATGAAAGCCATACAAACTCTTTTTTTGGATAATCAGGTCTTAACGTCGCAACGCGAACCGATTGGAGCAACCGGTATT